TGGGATCGTTGTGTTCACTCCCAGGGGAACTACTTCGAGGGTGATGGATGAATTTAATACCTGAGATAAGTGTACGGGTTTTTATAGGCGCAGTCTAGAAACTTTCCGATCGCACCTCGTATATCTGATCCATGCGAATATTATCCTTGAATCCGTGCAGCCAATATTAACTATTGCTTTCAGAATGTTTGACAAATATTTTGAACTAACCCATCTGGCATAGATCGAAACACCTTCTGCACCACAAATTAACATTAAAATCCTCAAGCTACAGTTTTGTTTACTTTAATATCGAAGTGTTTATGGAGGACACGGCGAAAGTAATATTTCCTGGACTGAATTTCCGAAGTTTGGTCCTTCTGACGGCCATTTAATTACCCGAGACTAAGTAATGTCTCAGCGAGAGGCTGCCCGTCGGACATTATTAAGTGACCAGACATTCGCCCATATTTCAAAGGTGTTAGGTATTGAAATGTCGGTGTAGGTGCCCGCTGACAGACACGCCATCTTGCTACAGTTTAATCTGTTTTGAATCTTGACAGCCTATTACCACCACGATCATTAACTTGATGATTTTGATTCCCCCCGGGTACGTTCTGTACTTCAGAGCAGACCACCTGCCACCACCTACCAATCACGTATCTTTAACGCCTCGGACGTTATCCCAGGTCCCACTTTTCCGTGTTCATCCATCACCACCCGAAATATTCACTAATCGTACGGTATGCCTACGGGTCAGACATCACAAGTAGGAACAGAGGAAATTAATGATAATATTAAATCCATTTAGCCCTCCAGAATTCCAATCAATACCTAAAGACAAGTTAAGACAACATTCACGCATGTGTGATGTTTCCCAACCAAAAAAAACCCTTTCCTGTATTTTTACTGAGTCTCTATCAATTTCTATTCTTACTTCACATACAAACGTAAACGTTTGCTCGAATACGTAGCCAACTGAACTGTTCAAATGATTTTGTAATTTAGATGCGTCATGTTTGTGATAAAATTCAGTATATATTTATTTATTATATCCGTCTATACACAAACTTAATTTTTATAATGTTGTTGTTAAAATTAACATTAAAATGTAGCGCTCTCGGGGTCTCGGGTTCGATTCCCGGCGGTGCCCGAATTTATAACTTGTGTTGGGCAAGGCCGTGGTCTAGGCGACACGGAGTTTTCCTCCGTGGCATCCCAACAATTACTCCATTCACACACAGAAGAAGGCAATGGCAAACCACTTCTGGATCATCTGCCAAGAACGTATATGAACAGGTCCCAGGCCGAGAAAAGGAGGGAAGGATCCTGTTCATATGGACCTGTCGTCAGACAGAACACTAAAAAAAAAA